AAAAAAAAAAAAAAAAAAAAGAAAAGGAAAAAAAAAAAAAGAGTAGTGCAAGTTTTCTGCAGAGCTGAGCTTCTGCAGAGGTAGCAGGAGAGCAACCGAATGGCAGAGATTAGCAATGTCTGAGCTGGGCACATGACACAGGTAACAGAACAATCATGCTGAAGAGCTATGTGACCAGCCAGCCTCTGGTCCACAACATGTGTTGAAGTTCTCTGCCAGTGGGGAAGACCATGGATGGCAAGCTCGTTGCAGTCTCTAAGAGCTCCCAGGGATGGCCCCTCACATAAGAACACCACAGGAGTTTATCGGCCCAAGCTGTGCATTGAGCCATCCTGCCTATCTGGCAATGTTGGCCGTGATTTAGGACTCCTCAACCAGAGGTTCATTTATTCATTTATTCATCATGGGTTGTGTGAAGACCTACTACATTCCAGGTACAGCAAGAAGACTGGACTCCAGAGGACAGTGGAGAAGGCCTTTATCCTGGATAACAGAGGTTGAGTGGGGAGACAACTAAATAGGTAAGTATAATACATTCTAATCCAGTTCATTCTATTCTATTTCACTGTGCTATGTTGTGTTGTGCTATGTTGTGTGGTGTCGTATTGTTCTGTATTGTATTTTTTTATGTATTTATCAAGCACTGGCATGCTAGGTGTTCCTCTAAGCGTTAGAGATGCGGTAGTGAACAAAACACATTTCTTGACCTCATGGACCTTTTATACTAGAGGGAGAAACAACACTAAAAATATTATATTGAATGTTTATTGTACATATTAGGTTAATTATTCAAAAAGTCTTGCAAAGTGGGTTTCAGTTGCTTCCATTTTATAGATGAGAAAACTGAGGCACAAGGAGGTGAAGTAACTTGTCCAGGGTTGCACAGTAAGCAAGTGACAGAGCATGGACTTCAGCTCAGGCCATCCACCTCCAGAGACCATGTTCCTAATAGGTGCCCATGCAAGAGGAGCCTGGGAAGCCAGAGAAGTGGGAATTTGATGTGAAGTTTGAAGAATGAGCAATTGTACTTCGAAGAGACTGTGGCAAGTTCGTTTCTAGAACCCATCTACCATAGTCCACTTTGTATTGCAGTATCAGTATACCACAGACTGGCTAATTTATAGAGAAAGGATGTTAATTTGGTTCACAGTTCAGAAGGCTGGGAGTCAAAGGCATGGTGAGGCATGTGGTGAGGGTCTTCTCATGGTTGAAGGTGGAAGGGCAAGAAAGTATAAGCTTGTGAGCCAGAGAGAAGGGGAACAAACTCACCTCTGCCAGGATTCCACCCTTGTGATCACTAACCCACTCCTATGGTAATAACAGTAGTAATTCATTTAGGAGGTCAGAGCTCTTATGACCTAATCACCTCTTAAAGGTTCCATCTCTCAACATTGACATACTGGGGATTAAGTTTCCAATACATAGACTTTGAGGGACATATTCAAAACATAGCACCATCCAGATGTATGCTCCTTCATGTTCAGAGTGAAGTCTGCTTTCCTCCTGGTTCAGAGTCCTTCACTATCTTGTCCTGGCCCACTGCTCTGAATGCCGCCCCCCCACACACACACACACACAACCAGTTCCAGACAGCAAGTGTTTCCCCTATACACTGACTTTTCTCCTTTTCATGCCTTTTCTCACATTGTTCTTTGTGCTTAGACCCCTGTACTGTGTTTTCTGAGCCAAAGTCTTCTCAATGTTTTTGATTTGGAGAAGCAGCATCCCAACCAGGAAGTCTTCCCTGACTTCTCCCATCTTTCCCCTCAAGTTTGATTAGAAGCTCCTCTACTGGCATTCCCAAGATAGGCTACGCGCTTCTATCTCTGGAGAAAGAATGAGGACTTGCATCATCTGTTCACCTGTCAGTGTCCTTTCTGAGCAAGCCTTTAGTGCTTGCAAACCCAAGAAGCAAATGACATCAGTTATAGAAAGAGGAAGGACACACCCAGCAGAGGGCATCACTTAGACAACGGCAAGGAGGTGTGGGCATGCCAGGTGAGGCCTATGTCTCCGGGAATTCCCCCTGGATGGGGGTCGGCGTGTCTGTGGAGGAGATGCAGCTTGGAATGACAGGAAAAAGAGCCGGAAAAAAGAAAGTGGCCAGAACACAAGGACTCTAGAGCAAAAGCTGTATGCTCTTCAGACAAGGAGGGCCTGTGTGGTGGGCAGAGGTGGCAGGCTTGGGGAATTCCTCATAAGAAAGTATAGATGGTAGAGCACACGAGAGTCTCTTCAGCAGTGTGAAAGGGAATTCCATGTTTCGTGTGAACCTCTGGAATGAAGAATTATTAGAAAGACAAGTTTTAATTCAATGTAAGGAAGAACTCTCTCTAGGATCCTAACATTAGGGTGGGCTACCTTGGGAGAGATGAGCTCCCATATAGCTACCTACAGACTGAGGACTAATGTGCATTTGAGAGGTGAGGTTGGGCTGCTGGAGTATCAGATGGAATCTGGATTAGATTACTCTGAAGCCTGCTTGCATGAGCTACAAGGCATGTGGGGCCAGCACTCTACCTGTCTAATTATCTGCTACCTTCCATTAAACTCTTATCACAGTCATATGAATTAAACTCTATTACTTTTCCCATTCTATGTTAGGGGAAACTAAGGCTTAGAGAGAACACATTCTTTGTCAAGTGAGCAGTAGAACTGAAAATCCACAAAGATCTACTGACCTCTTGTCATAATCATTTTTCCCTTTATGAGTACCCAGTTCCTAATCTAGGAAATGAAAACATGCATGTAACATAATGCATGTTTTTGAAAAACCATATTGTGTGCTGTGGAGAGGTACAATTAAATGTAATGAAGAAATAAAAAAAAAAGTCCATCTATCTCTTAGTATTGCTCTTAATTAAGTAAGCTAACTCTCATAATCACACGGAGCAGTGACTGACTCAGGCAGTGCCCAGGAGGTGTTACTACTACTGCTGCTATTGTTACTACCAATGCTATGGTGACTGCTGCTATTACTACTGTTACTGCTGGAAAGTATTATCAGACATGGCAACAATGAGAGCTATAAACATACTGAGGAGGGTAATTTTCAATAGAGAAACTGATTTGGAATCAGCTCTGCATTCAAATGCCAACTTCCCCAATTACTCTCCACAGAGCAGAGTCTGAACTTTATTTCCTCTTCTGAAAAATGGGAATAACTGTCACCCTGCATTCATCACTGTCTTACTGTAAGTCTCAGTCCTTAGTCCTATTGCAATGGGAATCATTTGGAGTGGTGGATTTGTCTGGAGCATGCAGAAAATGATATTGATGTTCATCATAGATGCTGCTCAGGGCATACTGAGAAACTTTCTGTAATCAGAGGCATAGATATGAAGGTAAATTGTACAATATCTAAGGATCAGGGTCATGTAAGGAGGTGAGACAGGCTGTGTGACCCAAAGGATGGCATACAGAGAGCTGCTGAACTCCTGAGAGGTCCCTTTATCAGGCCTTCCCTGCATGACCTTCCCAAAGGATCACCAGGGAACAGGGGGTTCCTGCCAAAGAGCCATCTCACTTGCATGCTTCCTTAGTAGCTGGTCTCTACTCTGTCAGATGTTCAATTGCATGTGTGCAATGGTTAGATTTTAAAGGAGTCTAGTCTTCGAAAATAAAAGAAAACGTGTCAGAACAAGCAGGGGCATGTGTGGGGACTCTCACATGGTCAACCCTGGTTTATGTCCTGGAGCTGGTGGTTTGAAAATTATACCAGGCATATGTGCATGTATGCCCAGAGTCCCAGAAGGAGAATGGAGGAGAAGGGATTGTGGTATGGCTATCACCACACAGGAGTAACTTCCCACTTTCCCTTTCTCTATTCCTCTTTCTCTTTCAGCCTATGGCAAAAATCTAAAAAAAAAAAAAAAAAAAAGAAGAAAGAAAATGTGTTATTTCAGACTGGCGACTCCTGTCACTCAGAAGCTTCTGGACTGCTGGGTTTCTGAATACTCACCCCTGCCATTACCCTGGCCCTGTAGGCAGTCTGCCTACTCAGATGTATGTTCTAAGCAAAGCAGAGCAGTTGGCTGAGGATTATCCACTTTATTCTTTGGATCTCACTGAGCATCACCTCCTCAGGAAGACTCTTAACAATCTTGACATCCTTTACCATGTAGAGCACTTCTGGTGTCTCCCTCACACCGGAATGTGGACTGCCTCCCTCACGTTTCTCTTCTGTTCATAATGGAATGATTATGTGTTACCTGCTGGGTTTCTTCCTGTCCTAGACTTTAAGCTTCATGAGGGCAAATCCCTCGCATTCAGGATGACATCCACAGTGTCTTACAGCATGTTTGATGCATACTAGATTCTTAACAAATGCTACTGCAGAATGAATGGTGGCTTTTAGAAAAAAGACTGTATGAACTGTAACATCTGAGTGCTGAAGGGGACTTTAGAAATCAAAGGTACTGCTCACTAGTTCTGAAGTCCCAGCTGAAGAATTTTAACAAATGGCTACATAGTTCTTTTCAAACAAGCTGAAGAGATACTGCCTGGACATCAGCTGCTTGTTTATTTATGAAGAGCATGATGGAAAGATACCTGTCCTGGGTCTTCTAGGACATGGGTTTCAGTCCCATCTGGTTCATGGCATTGTAGGTAAGATGAATGAAACACTTATATCTTGGGATTTCAGTTCCTCATGGTCAACTAGATGAAGTTGAATTATACAACACTTAGTCATTTTGCTTTTTGACCTGTTTTATTTTTCTGTCCCATCCTTTGTTTATATTGTTTACTTGTCTAAAAGATTAAAGCTAAAATTTCTCATGTCACTTCCTTATGAATAGATTAATGCCATTATTATGCAACTGAGTTCATTTTCATAGAAGTTTGCTCATTATAAAAGAACAAATTTGTCCTTCCAATTCTCTCTCTCTTGCCCTTCCACCTTCCACCATAGGATGATGCAGCAAGTCAACCCTTACCAGATACAGCCCCTTGATCTTAAACTTCACAAAGACTGTGAAGAAATAAATTTCTTTTCTTTGTACCTTACCCAGTCCATGGTACTCTGCTATAGCAACACAAAATAAACTAAGACATTAGGTTAGCAGAGCTAATGAGTGGCCAAACTTACATTGGAATCCTGGTCCACCTGATTCCAAAATACTCATGAGCTAGGAATAAAGCTTGTTATGCTGACTCCAAAGCTAGTATGTCTCTCACCACTTTGCCATTTGAGGTTGGGGCATTCCCCTTCTTAGAACATAAGAGAGGATCTGTGACTCACTGGATAGTTGTTAGGGTCAAGTAGGAGCTCACAGAAGGAAGCACATTGTAAATTGTGAAGTGAGAAGCTCATGCTCATGAGTAGTGGCATCGGTATTAGTGTTAAAGACTTAACAGCCAGGTATAAGGACAAATGCCTCCGTATTTCATTGAACAAGGTAATGGTGGAGACAGAAGCTGTCAAGAGTGGCTTCATGGGTGAGTGGTAGTTCAGTGACATGGTGTATGACATGTATCATGTTAGGGCAACCCCACAGCCACCTGCGACTCCTTTTCTCCTTGCTTTATGTTCCATATTCCCTTATAGGGAGCAATGGCCACGTGACCAGTCTGACCAGTGGAATGTAGGAAGTCCCAGGTAGAACTGGTTAAGAGAGGCTTTGCCAACATGCCCTTCAGACCTGCATTGATTCTTTTGCTCCTGCACCTTTCTCTCTTCTTCCTTTCTGGAGATGCAGCAGCTCTCATGGGACCAACGAAGATAAAAAATCACACGCCAAACAGGATGGTGGTAGGAGCCAATTCCTTAATGACTGCCAGTTCCATGGTATACAAAGAAACTCCTGTTACTGGGTCATCTTTTCATTACTGAATTAATTTTCAGTGACGTAGCTAAGAAGCAGGTAGATGATAACACATGCAATGGAACAAGAAGGTAGGCACGTTAAGGAGGTCAGGAAAGAAAGTGGCTAAAGGAGACATCTCGTACTGCACCAAGATACACATGTGTGTGGACATCAGGATGAGGATGGTTACTTGCCCAGCATCAGGACCCCGTGGTCTGTGTTGGAATCCATCCACCCTTCTAATTTGTGCTTGGCAGAGGGTTCCAAAGACTGCTGAGTGCCTGACTCAGAACAGGAATTTATTAACTCATTCAGAAAGCATGTCTTCAGTGTGACTCTTAGCACTGCTGAGAGGGTGAATTTTATTCTACCCCCATTTCAAAGAGAAAAGTGAGAGCCATGAAGATAAATAGCATGTCCAAAGTTTCTTACCTGACTCAAGTGCAGACAACTAACTCCCAGCTCTGTGCTTTAATTTCTATGCTATTCTACAAATCAAAGTCCACCTGCTTCTGAAAACTGATGGGACTCCCCACACTCACAAAACTGTCTCTTCTTCATGTTCTCATATGCTTGCCTAAATATGTGGAGTCAAGATGTAGTTGTTCATCTCATGGACTTCTGCAGAAGTTTGTGAGGATTTTTTCATTGAGGGACTAGGCCTCATGCAGCTTCATCCCCCAGTATCTAATATATTTTTTGAATAAATATAAGTTTAAAAATGAGTTATCTAATTTTAGTGGTTGGATTTGGCACAGGGAGGCTGATAAAGTAAAATGCAGACTCTAGCCATAGGAAACAAAAACGAGGTGATCCTGAACCTGCTAAATGATTAACCTCATCACCTTTTACACTTTTTATTATATGTATTTTAATATTAATGAATTAATAGTTTAATAATAAAATACAATTATTATACTGTTTTATGTTCACATTTTTGTGTGTCATGCTTTTTTCTTCTATCTAGAATCCATCCCATGATTTCTAGCTGTGGTAAGATCTAAACACAATGCTTTTGATATGGCTCACAAGGATTCTGTCACATCTGGGCACATCTCTCATGTAGTGAAGAGATATGCTAAGGGAAATAAATAATAATTATGTTCTGAACCAGATGAAGACTGCATAGCTTATTAAAAGCCAAGATAAATTGTGCATACCCTCAAAGTGGGTCGGTGACGATTCGTCAAACTTTGTTACCAACATCTTAAAAAGTTGATTTGAGTCATGGGGAGCTATTTTGCACAAGATTTGTCACCTTGATCTGAACGGGAAATGAATTACTAAATATAAAATGCCATTTTGCTGTGATTCATAGCTCTTTCAATCTGACAGATATTGTAAGGGGATACAATCTTTTCTCTATTTCTAAAATATGCAGTCAAGGGGTCTACTACTTAGTTTATCAGCCTGAAGAGCGATCACAGAGAACACCTGCAAGTCAACCACAAGGAATAGCTCTGTCATTTGCACTTCCTGAATGTGTTCA